CTTCTCATCTCCTTGCTTCCTCCTCATCATCATAATGATCATTATCATCGTCATCATCATCAACATCATCATGGCCATCATCAACATCAGCATGATCGTCATCATCCTCGTCATCAGTATCACCATCATCTTCATACTTCTCCTCCGCCCCCTCATCCTCATCGACTTTCCCCCCCATCGCCCCTCATCACGCCTCCTCCTACACCTCCCTTTCCCCCTGCCCCTTTCTAGTCCTGCTCCTTCCGACATCGCCCCTCAACCGCACCCTCACACTGCATTGCTTCCGGGATGCGGGGAGCCCCCACGAAACCCTGGCTGCTCCCCCGCCAACCGCGGGACCAGCCGATGTCGTCCGCGCTGCTCTGGCTGGGCGCGACTCCTCCCACCGTGGAACGACCGCGGCGCTCCTAGAGCGCAGCGCCGTTCGACACGCCGGCCGAGTCCGGGCCCCTGGCGGCGCCCCGACTTGCGCGGGCGCGAGCCTGCAGCGAGCGAGGGGGGGGAGGAGGAGGAGGAGGAGGAGGAGGAGGAGGAGGAGGAGGAGGAGGAGGAGGAGGAGGAGGAGGAGGAGGAGGAGGAGGAGAAGAAGGAGTAGGAGGAGGGAGGAGGCGGGGCGGTGCGGGGCCGGGGCACGAGGACCAAGTGCGCCGAAGCGGGGGGGCCAGGAAGAGTCGGGAGTGGCGAGAAGGTCTGGTGCAAGAAGGGTGATCTCGACGGCTGCTGAGGCGCCTCGGGTCAAGCTGGGGGGCCTCATGTCGGGCTGGGGGGGGGCGGCCTCAGGTCTAGCGAAACCAGCCTTGTCCAACGAACACTTCTGGCACCCTCCAAAAGGGGGGGGCGTGCCATGAACTTCACGGTCTGAGCGTGCTCCGCCGCCCACTCGGCTTCCTCTCTCCACTCCGCGACGCTCCTGCTCCCGTGGTGCCTCGCCTGGCTCCAAGGGCGTCCCCCGGCGGCCCCGACCGCCTTCCTGGACCCGGGCCGCCGCGACAACAGGAGAGCGCGGACCAACGGGGCCAGGGGATGCGCTCAAAGAAGACCGCGGGGAAGCTCTACGAGTTCCCGGCGGTAACCAAGGTTGACAGTTTACCGCCGGCTCCCAGTTCCAGCGCGCCAGGGGGCTAATTGGCAAACAACATCTCGACAGAAGTTTTGCCTTTTTTTTGACCTATTTGAAATCATGTTCTTGAAATCTGAAAGGTCGTTAGAGCTCGACGCACACGTGCGCGACGAGCAAAAACGGGCCTCACGCGAGAGGGCACGGCGGCCTGGCGCGGCGGCTCGCGCGGGGGCCGCCCGCGCGGCCGCGCTGCAGTGGAGAGACGAGGGCGCTCGCGCGCGCGACCCTACGCCGCGGGGAGCTTTACGCGCCCGTGCCGGCGCAGACGACCCCGTTTTTTTTTGGTTTACGTCGCTCACGCAGGATCGGGCCGGGCGAAAGGGGAGCTCACGCGCCCATGCCGGCGCAGACGACCCCGCTTGTTTTTCTAATACGTCGCTCCCGCAGGATCGGGCCGGGCGAAAGGGGGGGGGATGGCAGAAGGGGGGATTTCAGGATCAGCTCACGCAGCTGATGTTCCCGGCGCCTCCCGGCGCCGGGAGGCGCCCATGTATTCAGAGGTTGGGGGGTGAGATCGCAGTGAAACGGAGACCCCCCACCGGGAAATCGGTTTCGGTTTCGTGTTCGTGTCGTGCATGCGGGCGAGGCGAAGCTGCGCGTGATCCTCCTGTAGCTAGGCCGAAGTAGAAGCGAAAGTCTGCTCCCCGCCCGCCAGTGGCTGGGTTGGGCCGGGCGGTGTCCCGGGTGTCCGTGGTGTCCCGTGGTGTCCCGTGGTGTCCCGTTGAACGAGATCCATAGTGAGATCGATAGTGAGATCGACAAGTGTCCCGTGGTGCCCCGTTGAGTGAGATCGATAGTGATACCGATGGTGAGATCGATGTGGTGTCCCGAGGTGTCCTGTGGTATGCTGTCCCGTTGAGTGAGATCGATAGTGAGATCGATAGTGAGACCGATAGTGAGATCGAGAGATGTCCCGCGGTGTCCCGTGGTGTCCCGTGGTGTCCCGTTGAGTGAGATCGATGCTGAGATCGATAGTGAGATCGACAAGTGTCCCGTGGTGTCCCGTGGTGTCCCGTTGAGTGAGATCGATCGTGATATCGATTGAGTCGGATGTTGGTTCCCCCCCCCTTTCTTCCTCCCCCCACATCCTCCTTCTCACCCCCGAAGGGTGGTCGTACAGGTATATCGGGGAATGGGCCCGGCGGCGGGGCCGAAACCAGCTGCATGCAGCAGATTTCGTACCCCCCCCCTTTCCCGACCCCCTACCCCCCCCTTTCGCTCGGCCCGACGGCACCCGGGCGAGCACTGGCGCACCTGCTGCACCCCCCGCGGCCGGGCCTGCACGGGCCTCCCCTCCGGGGCCCATGGCCCTCGGCACTCGCGCGGCCGTGGCCGCGAGCCGGCACCGGGCCCAGCTCGGGGCCCCGGCTGGACGCTCCGCGAGGGCCCTGGCGGCGGACGCCTCTGCACTCCCGGCGGGCCGGACCTCTCTCCCTCGCGGCGCTGGTGCTCCGCCTCGGCTGCTGGGGGCCGTGGCCGTGCCTGGGCCGCGGGGCTCGCCTCGGTGCGGGGGCCGGGGCGACAAGCCTGTCCCCAGGGAACGGGGGTCGAGGCTCCTGCATGGGGCCCGCGGGCTGGGAACGCACGTCCTCGGATGGCTGGGCCGGCTGTTGCCAGGAGCGGCCCTGGCACGAGGTGGCCCGTGCTTTGCCATCGGAGGCCCGGAGGGCCTCCAGAGCGCCCCTCACGAGGCCTGGAGGGCATCAGGGGCTCCGGAACGGCGGGGAAAGCTGGGGCCACCCTGGGTTCCGCTCGCGGTATTCCCCCAGACAGCTCCCGAAGGCATCCGAAGACCATCCGGAAGCCTCCGACCGCCAAGCCAGAACCTCCGAGAGCCAAGCTTGCGAACAGCAGACAGCAGCAGCATTTCTCCTGGGCGATCCTGACGGCGCCGCCCAGGCGCCTACGGCTTCTTCTTCCGCCGCTTGCCCTTCTTCAGGTGGCCCCGGCCGTCGTCGGCGGCGGGCGGCGGGCTCGGGCTGCGCTCGCGCTTGTCCGCCCCCCGCAGCGCGGCCAGCAGCTTGGCCCGGCCGGGCAGCTGCGCCAGGGCGCCCTCCGCCGACAGCTGCCCCTCCAGCAGCGCGCGCGCCCTCTCCGGGACCGCCGCCGCGGAGGCGAGCAGCCGGGCCCCGAGGGCGTCCGCGAGCAGCCTCCCCGGGGTGCCCGGCTCGCCGCCCAGCGCCGGGCCCGCCGCCAGCGCCAGCTTCCCCAACTGCTCGGCGGTGAGGCGGCCGCCGTCGCCGGGCACGGGCGCCGCCAGCGCGGGGCCGGTCTCGGCGGCGAGCGCCCGCGCCCAGTGCTCGAGCACGCGCCGCAGCGCGGCGTGCCCGGGGCCGAGCGCCTGGGCCAGGGCCTGCGTCGCGACGAGGAGCTGGCCCTGGGGCAGCGCGGCGGCGCGGGCGGGCAGGGCGGCGGCCGCGGCCTCGAGGAGGGCGGGCGCGCGCAGCGCCGAGGCCGCCAGCACCACCTTCACCAGCTCCGGCGCCTCGATGCTCTCCAGCTGGTGCGCGACCAGCGCCCCCGAGCGCTCCAGCAGGCTGTGCACCACCTCGGGCCGCAGGCGGCCCTTGCCCCTAGCCGCCACCAGCAGCAGCCGCACGAGCTCGGCGGCGCTCAGGTCGGCGAAGCTCACCGCCGCCTGTGCGACGTCGCTGAAGATGACGTCGAGCGCCGCGTTCTTCGCGGCCGCCGCGGCGAGCCCGAGCACGGTCTCGCGGCCAAGCTCCGCCAGCGGCCTCCTCGACAGGCACTCGGCCACAGCGGCGAGGCCTTCGGTGGCCGCGCCCCGCTCGGCGACGGCCAACAGAGCCGCTGCCAGCGCCGGAGCAGATGCGGCAGAGGCGCGGGGACGCAGGAGCGCCGTGACCTCGTTCGCGCCTGCGCCAGCCTCGGCCAGCGAGCACAACAGCGCAACTGCGCCGTCTGCGGGCAGCTTTTCCAGGCTGGCAGCCGCGCTGGCGAGCGTCACGCCTGCGATGCCCAGGCAGCTCTTCGCGGAGGCGCCCCGCATCACCTGCAGGAGCTCCTCCTGGCTTGCGGCCTCCAGCGCGGCCGAAGCGCTCTGCTTCAGCGCCGTGTCGTGTGCCGCGATCCCAGGCAACCGCACGAGCCGAGATAGGTCCTCGGGCCTCAGGTCCGACCAGCCGCGCGAGATGCGCGCGACGATCGCGTCCAGCAGAAGCTGCACGGCGGACGAGCGCTGGTCGATCGTCTCGATCGAGGGGCTCTTGCCCGCCAGCGCCGGCACAGCCTCCGCAACGTCCAACAGCTGCCTCAGGGAGATGCTCGGCCAGCTGTCCCCGGCCACGACGGACAGGCTGGAGACCAGCGCCTCCAGCAGCTTCCTCTTCTGGCCCTTCGTGGCCACCGGCGCCGCCTCCTCTAGAAGGAACAACAACAAAAAAAGCAAGCGTAAACCGCTCGGCGCAGATTTCGTGGATCCGCGACGGACCCCCCTCCCTGGCGCGCGGGGCGCCGCCTATAGAAGGGGTGGCCAGCGCGAATCCAAGAAATCCGCGCGGTGCGCCAAAAGCATATGTTTTTTAGAAGGCAGAAAATCCACCCCCAGAATAATCACCCCGACAAGCGGCGCCGTTTAGCACGCGCAGCCTGGGAAGGAACCGAACAGGGCATGGGCTGATTAGCCAACGCCCAGGGCCGCTTCGTAAGCAACATATTGTCGGGCCCGGGTGGCTTTTCCTCCCTTGATTGATGGCGCTTTGTTTTTTCGCTTATTATTATCATTATGTTTACTTCTACGATCATCATCATTATTATTATTAGTAGTATTATTATTAGTGATATTATTATTGCTATGTTTATTCTTATATGTATTACTCACATTATTCTTAGTAGTAGTATTAGTATTCTTATTCGTATTAGTATTATTACTATTATTATTATTAGTATTAGTATTAGTATTATTATTATTATTATTCCTCTTCTTCGAGCCCCCTCGTCGGGCCCCGAGGCCGCCACGAGGCGCCGCACGGCGCAGACCCGGGCGGCTCCAAGACACCCGCGCGGGCCCCTTAAGACATCCGCCCGCCCCGGCCCTCTGGGCGCCCTCCCGGCGCGCTCCGGGCGCGCCAGCTCTGACCTTCCAGAAGGCTATTTTTTAGCACTGGAGGCCTAAAAAGCTAAAGAACTGAGCGAAACAGCCTAAAACCAAGACGTAGAATATCTTTGGGATAGGCTTTTCAGTCGGGTGCTATTTTTTAGCCCTCCTGGAAGGTCAGGGGGTCGGGCGAAAGGGGAGGATAGCAAAGGGGGGGGGGAGAATCAGCTCGCGTATAGCTGCTTTTCCCGGCGCCTCCCGGCGCCGGGAGGCGCCCATGTATATCGAGGAATGGGCCCGGCGGCGGGGCCGAAACCAGCTGCATGCAGCAGATTTCGTACCCCCCCCTGTCCCAATCCCCCCCCTTTCGTCCGGCCCGAGCCAGGGAGGGGGGCCCCCGGCGCGGATCCACGACATCCGCGCGGAGCGCCAAGAGTTTATAGGTGCATGCACAACGTTTGTCTTAGGTCGGGCGTGTCCCCCTTACAGGCGGGTTTTGGACAATCTTTTTTTTGAAAGAAATAAAAAACAAAAAAAAACAAAAAAAGTCAAAACAAACTCGAGGATGGTCCAAACATGGTCGAAAAATCGTCCCCAGGCTATTTTTTGACTCCTCCTCTAGAGGGACAGGCCCGACTTGACGTTTGCTTCCTCCTCGAGCCTCCTCGTCGGGCCCCGAGGCCGGCACGAGCCGCCGCACGGCGCAGACCAGGGCGTCCGGCGCCGCGCGGTGCAGCTCCTCGCCGGCGCGGTCGAGGGCGAGCGCCAGGTCCTCGGGGCCGGCGGCGGAGCGGAGCACCTGGCTGAGCCTCTCCTGGGAGCAGCGCGCCAAGAGCAGAAGAACCCTGACCTTCCAGAGAGCTATTTTTTAGCACTCGAGGCCCAAAAACCTAAGGAACTGAGCGAAGCAGCCTAAAACCAAGACGTAGAATAGCTTTGGGATAGGTTTTGAAGTCGGGTGCTATTTTTTTGCCCTCTGGAAGGTCAGGGAAGAAAAAACGCCTCAAACATAAACTTGTGGCGCTCCGCGCGCATTTCTTGGATCTGCGCCGATCCCCCTCCCTGGCGGGCGGCGGCGCCGGAGGCGTCGCCGGGGGCCCCCGGCGCTGATCCGAGAAGTCCGCGCGGAGCGCCAAAAGCTTGTGTTTATGGCGTTCCTTCTTCTTCGAAAGCGGTCGGGGGTGGCTAAAGGTGCCCCTGGCCCAAGGTGACCCCAGCCTAGCGCTCCAGTCTGGAGCCCCTCGCGAGCCCCCTGGGCCTCGGCCTCGTGAGGGGTGCTCTGGAGCCCGCGCGGGCCTCCTCGGAAATCCTGGGGAGCACCTCGTGGGCCGGGGGCACCCCTGGCAGCACCCGACGAGGAGGCGGGGCGTAAGAGTGACCCTGGGCAAGAGTGACCTTTGGTGCGCGGCTGTTTGGGGGCCGCGGGGGGGCCCAACAGCAGCGCGCAATGCGCTACCGTCGCACCGCACTCGGCGATCGGGGGGGCCCCGTGGGCGCGCAGCCAAAGGTCACTCCGGCGAAGGGTCACTCCTTGCGTGCCCTCGAGCGTCTGAGAGGGCCTGTTCGACGGCCCCGCGAGGCCCGGGGAGGGGGCCCCAGGGGCCGAAAGTAGTGCAAAACCCTCCGTTCTGACTTTTGCCATGACTCGAGGGGGTCTGGGATCCGCTCAGGGTCGGTCCCCGCACCCGGCCTGCCGGGCGAGGCCCAGGGAGGACGAAGGGCGCCACGGGAGGGCCGCCGCCGCCTCGGCCGCCCCGTCCTCCCCGGGGGGGGGGGGGGGGGGCCTCGACAGGCGGCCCCGGAGGGGCCCACTCGGAGGCCTCGGAGGAGGCCTTTAATAGGGCGGCCCTCTCGGCAGGGACCCGCCTCTGCTCAAGAGGCCCCCAGAGGCCTCTGAGGAGGCCTCTGAGGAGGCCTCCGCGGGGGCCTCCTCTCCTCAGAGGCCCGCAGGGGCCTCGCGGAGGCCTCGGAGGAGGCTGGGGGGGGGGGGGCGGCCCCCTCGGAAGGGATCCGCCTCTCCTCGGAGGCCTCCGAGGAGGCCTCCGAGGAGGCCTATCTGCAGGGCCTGCGCGTGCCTGCGCGTGCGCAGGGCACGTGCGGCGCGGCTGCGCAGAGGCACGCTCCCTTCAGCGCTGCGCGTTCCAGGCAGACATTCGACCAGAATAACAAGGATGCGCGGTAGGGATGCAAGGGCCTTGGAACGCCAGGTGGACGCTTGCCGTGCGGTGCACAGCAGAATGCCGGAGCATGCCGAATACCGAAGGGGCAAGGATTCAAGGGTAGCCTTGGAAAGTTGCCCCGTCCTTACTATCATGGTTGACTGTAAACCCTCGCGCCTGCGCAGCGCCGCAGGTGCGCGGCTGGGCCTGCCGCTGCAGTGCGGTCTCGGGCAACCAAGAGCGGTGTGTAAAGACGAACTTCCCGAGCTCCGAGCGAGCTTCTGAGATCGGCGCTGGACCCCCCCCCCCCTCCCTGGCGCGCGGGCCTCAGGCGCCAGTGGGATTCAGCGCCGATCCAAGACACCCGCGCGGACCCCCAACACGATACGATCGTGTCGTTACAGTCGGACCTGGGCCAGAGGAACACCCCTCAGGTGCATGAGACCCTCCGTCGGCCAAAGCAAGCAGAACATTCCGGGGTGCCCTCCCCAGGATGCCCAAGAGCAGCCACCAGGCACGAAGGACACGAGGGCACCCTCCCCGAACCGACCTCGCTCTCACACCTGGGCGGCCCGACTGCGCGGTTCCCCGAGCGTGGCGTTATGTCGGGCCTGTCCCCCGACAGGGGGACAGGCCCGACGAAGAAGAACAGATACCCCAAACATATCGCAAAAAAAGGCAAAAAATAAAAATACCCCCAAAAATGGCCCCCTGACTATTCTTGGATATTTCGTTTTTGCTATGTTGGGGGTGTCTTTGATTTTTCGTCGACAATACCCATGGCGGGGGACAGGCCCGCCTCCTAAGGCGAGCGGGGCGCCCCGTGGCGAGCAGGGCCCCCCCGCCTCTCCGGAGGCCCCCTCTCCCGGCAGCAGACGTCGCCCACGGGGGGCGAGGCGGCGGGCTCCCGGGGAGCGTGCCCGCACCGCTCGCGGGGAACCCCCCTCCACTCCCTCCCTCCCCTCCCTCCCTCCCTCCCTCCCCTCCCCTCCCCCTCCCCTCCCCTCCCCTCCCCTCCCCCTCCCCTCCCCTCCCTCCCTCCCTCCGTCCCGCTCGCCTTAAGTAGGGCCTGTCCCCCTACAGGGGGCGTTTTCGACGAAGAATAAAACATACCCCAAAAAGAAACAAACAGTAATCCAAAAATCGTCAGGGGACTATTTCTGGAGTATTTTTGTTACCTTTTGGGGCATTCTTGGGGTATGTTTTTGTTTTTCGCCGAAAATCTCCCTGTAGGGGGGCACGCCCGAGAGAACGCTCGCCCTGCCCCCACCCCCGCCCCCCTCTTGCGGGCCGCCGGGCTCCTCCGGGGGCCTCAGGCGGACGGTCTGGTCCTCGGCCCGGAAGTCCCAGTCCTGCCAGTGGCCCTCGAAGTACGCGGCGAAGTCCTCGGCGTCCCAGACCGCCTTCTTCAGCACGTCCTTGAAATACCTCGCCACCTCCCCGGCCTCGCGGAGCTCCGCGACGGGCACGCGCTCGCCCTTCTGAGCCCCCGCCGCGGGCATCAGGACCTCGTCGAGGTCCTTGAACTTCAGTGCTGCCTTGAAGTCGACGAGCATGAAATCGATGACTCTCCCTGGCACCTCGTCCAGGAAGGGGACGGTCCTCAAGTCGGACGGGGGCAAGAAGGCCAGGTAATGCCCCCGGCGGCACGCGGTCTCAAATCGGAATGCGCCCTCGTAGACAGGACTCTCCTTTGCTACGAAATCGACATTTGCGCTCTTCTTTCCCTTGCCGGCCGGTGCCAGGAGCACTTCTGACTCGGTGTCCGCGCGCACTCGGAAAGAGAGGTTCAGTCCGCCAGCCAAGCCGGCAGCGGCGGCGCGCTTATCTTCTCTCGTCTTGGAGCCCAGGGTACGTACGCGGCACATGTTGTTCACATCTGGCAGCCACCACAGCGAGAACTTTGCGTTTTGAAAAAACTCGTCGAAGCTCACCTGTGGAACGTCTTGCCGAGACTGCACCGCCGTCTTTCTGTCCAGGCACCTCACGAACTTTTCGGTGTGCTCCAGCGGCTGAATCATAAACTCTTTCGGCACAGCGATCTTTGGAGCGACCTTTGGTTTCGAAGGTGCTTCGCCACGTCTCCTCTTGTCTACAGCAGAGCGCTGGAGGTCATAGCGCTCGCGCTTGGTCGGGTTGCTCAGCGTGGCATACGCGGTGTTGATGAGGCGAATGCGTTCCTCCGCCCCTGCCCGGTCGGTGAGGTTCTTGTCCGGGTGCCACTTGAGCACCAGCTTGCGGTAGGAGTTCTTGATCGCCGCCTCGTCGGCGTCCTCCGTCAGCTCGAGCGCGGAGTACAGGTCGACGGCGCCGCCTTTCGGCGCCATTTGCGCTGTCGCTGGCCCGAGGGGCCCTCCAGCAGCGCGCCAGAAGAGCGCTCGCGATCAGAGGGCGGTGCCGGCTTCCGGCACGGCGGGGCGCGGGGGGCGGTGGGCGGACTGACGCTCCTCGCTGCCGCCCGTGCTTGCGCCGAGAGAGAGGCGACCGGCGAGGAGGGAGAGGAGGGCGAGGTGTAGAGGAAGGAGACCAGAGCGAACCGACGATGTGTGCATCCACGGTGCTGCAAGATGATGGGCCGGTGCTCCACCACCACTACCATAGGTAGGAGAGGGAGGAGGAGGAGAGGGAGGAGGAGGAGGAGGAGGAGGACCTCCCCATTCTCCCTCCCCCCCCGTCATACCTAGTGGCGGTGGAACATGGGCCCATCACAAGGCACCCTCACGCCCCAGCTCCGCTCCGTCGGGCGTCCCTCCAAGCCCTCCGCCTCGGCTGCCGGAGAAGCGCAGGCCCCCCCCCCCTGCAGACGAGCGCCCCGTGGGCTTTTGCGAGAGTCACAAGAGAGACACCTCGAAAACTGGCAGGCGGACAGCGCACGTCCGGCTGGTCTCGCCTCCGTGGGCGATGGGGGGAGGACGAAAAGAGGGGGGGGGATAACAAACCTCCTGATCGGGGGTGCACAAAGGTGGGGTTGGGGCACAGGTGGGGTTGGAAGGAAAGTCGCTCCGAGTGGCCCCTTGGAGGAAGGAAGCGCGCGGAACGGGAGCATCCAGCTGGGCCCGCTCCCCAGCCCCACCTTGAAATAGCCCTCCCTCCACGAACCCCCGGACTGAGGGTGCCTGGTCCTGCGAGGCCTCTGCGAGTGCTGCTTGGGCGCGAGGGCTGGGAATCGGGAGCGCTTGCCAGAGGCCACCCTGGGCCTGCCGCGGCCCTTGTCCACTGGTTCTTCGGGGATTACCCGCCTGGAACATATCCCTATCCCTATGCTGGGCACCTCCTCATCACGATGCCAATCTTAGGGATTCCCTTATTTTTTGGAGGGCGAACCCACAAGATTGTCATCGCCTTTTGGCGTGTCAACCTTAGGGATAGGGATACGTTCGAGGCTACAAAAGGGGAGGCTCTGGACTCGGGTGCTCATCGCTGGCGGCTGGCCTCTCGCGGGTGGGCCTCGCTGCCGGGTCTCTCCAGCGATGCTCACCTTTCTCTCCCCACCTGCCTCCCCCGCGATTCGGCGAGCCTCCTGTCCTTCCAGAGGGGTATATATTTGCGCTGGTGTCGCCTTCCGACCTTGCCAGCGACGAAAAGCTGGCACTGGTACCGGCACCACGACGCCCCTGGAAAAGTTGGGAGACCTCCTCCCCCTGAAGACGCTGGTTGGGTGAGCAGGGCTCCCTGAAGCCCGACGGCACGTCTGGGCCGCCGATCAGCGCAATCCCCATTGAACCCGAAGGCCGAATGTCAAGACTCGTGGGGATCGCAGGGCCCGAGGTATCACAGTGTTCATCGGCCTCGTGGGCCGTGCCGGAGGGGAAGAGGCGAAAGACCCGCGGCGTCCAAAGCATCTTTCGCCAACAAGCTTGGTGGCAGCGAGCAGACGAGCGCGGAGACACAGACGACGGTATGAAACTGGCACTCGCGATTTCCTAGACAAGCTATTGGTGCCAGTTTCGGGATCCGGCGTGTATCGGCGGAGACGAAACTGGCTGCACCAAACGTCGCAAGCAGGCGGGGCAGACGTCGCACTGCGGACAGGGCCAGGAGTCTCGCGCTCAGAAGTGCACGCGGAGAAAATCCATGGGGCCTCATCGGTTTGCCTCTTTCATCTTATTATGGTTATTTCTCTGACTCTTATTAAATAAAAGCTTCCCTCCTCTTTCTCATATCCCTCCTCCTCCTCCTCCTCCTCAAACTCCTCCCCCCTTCTCAGCCTCACGGTCCTACTTCCTTGGCCCGAGCCCATCCTCCTTTTCCCGTTCCTCTCACCCTCCTCCTCCTACTTCTCCTCCGCCTCCTCCTCCTCCTTATCATCATCATTATCAGCATCACCATCATCATCATCATCATCATCATCATCATCATCATCATCAGCATCAGCATCAGCATCAGCATCATCATCATCATCATCATCATCATCATCATCATCATCATCATCATCAGCTTTCGACGTTCGCAATGCATCAAGAAAGGATACGTGTATATCTCATGCAAACAACAATTCCACACCGCGCCTCAGGAGTTCAAGTGCACGCGCCAGCCCGCGAAAAGGCCCAGACATGCCAGCCACATGCCACACCACACGTTGAAGACCCAGAGGCACCAGCCGAACCCAGACGACCAACAACGAACCGCCCCCCCCGAATCCACGGTGCAACACGGACGGTGCGAAGACAAGCATGCCAACAGAACACCAAAGAACTGCCGATCTGCGGACAACTGTGGGTCACAGTTGTCAGGCTTCGACTGCAACGCAAGCGCGTAGTCACCCGCAGTGCCAAAACATCAGGAGGAAGCCGTACTGGAAACGCACACAGCACACAGGACGAATACAAAGGTCATGCATGTCAAATCCGCCACGCCGCCGTCACGCCCATTCGGGAAAACCCATATCTAACATATTGCACGGCTTAGTGTGCTGATGGCCCGCACATCCTGTTCCCACCGTTCCACTTGAAATAACGACCTCAACATGCAGTACGAAGAGCGCACCCAAGAAATTGAACTTGAGTAACTGCACCCGCGAACAAAGGAAACAAGATGCTACCAGCAACACATCCCCCCCGCTGTAACGAACTGGATGTGCGAGATGCTAACGCAGCCAATTCACCCCGGCGCTCACTGGAAAAGACCGCCCCAACGAAGGCGAGCATCGACTGGCGCTCAAGTCAGCACACGTATGGTCCAGACTTGAGGCACCTCGACAATGCCGTTAGCTCGTTTAAGCCCCACAGAGTTGACCAAACATGGCTACGGACATCATCATCATCATCATCATCATCATCATCATCATCATCATCATCATCATCATCACCACCACCATCATCATCATCACCATCATCATCGTCATCAGCATCAGCATCATCGTCATCATCATCATCATCATCATCATCATCATCGTCATCAGCATCATCATCAACAACATCATCATCAGCAGCATCATCAGTACCAGCATCATCATCACCATCATCGCCATCAGCATCACTACATCATCATTATCATCGTCACCATCCTCATCACCATCACCATCAGTATCATCATCAGCAGCATCATCACCGACATTATCCTCCTCCTCCTCCTCCTCCTCCTCCTCCTCCTCCTCATCATCATCATCATCATCATCATCATCATCATCATCATCATCATCATCATCATCATCATCATCATCATCATCGCCATCACGTCCATCATCACAAATATCCTCTTCCTGCTCTTCCCATCAAGGACGCAAGATCACAAATACACACCACAAACACTTATTCAGCATCGGAGGCATGCCAAACCGATATGGTACCATATGACTTTGCACCGAACACATACACATTCCACCAGTTGCAAGAAGGTTACGTGTGCCAGTAGTTTTGTTCATCGTCACCGCAATCATGGCCAGCATAGCCAACCTCATCGTAACTACCCTCAGTTCAGTCCTCGTCGTCGCCGTCAACGTCGCCATCGTCGTCGGCACCACCGCCGTCAGCGACGTCGCCGTTGCAGCCATCATCAAGACAGCACCATCGTCAGCGTCAGCGTCAGCGTCCTCTTCCTCGCCCTCGCCGTCATCCTCGTCCTCGTCAGCGCCCAGCGCCCATCGGCCTCGTCCTCGCGCCCTCGTCATCCTCGTCATCGTCAGCGTCAGCGTCATCGTCAGCGCCCAGCGCCCGTCGGCCTCGTCCCCAGACATGCGACGTCTTGATTTGTTCCGTGCGGCGTCCCCGGAAGTCCCGACCCGTTCCCTGGGGCCGGCTTCTTCATCCCGAGTCGCTTCTTGACGCTCCCGGGGGCCGGCGAGGGTCCCCCCAGGGATCGAGAAAAACGGCGAAAAACCTGCCCTCCTGAGCTCGGCCACGGCGCGAGCCCGTCTGGGTCCCCGTCCTCGCCCTCCGCGCCCGCCGCCGCCGCCGCCCGCCGCTGCCGCCCAGGCCTCCTCCTGCGGCCGAGCCTCTCCCCTATCTATGCAGCGCGCGGGGCCGGCCGTGGGCGGCCGGCCGTGGAGGGGGGGGGGCCCTGCCTGCGTGCGGCCCCTGCCCAGGAGGCACGCCCGCGACGAGAGCCGCCGGAGCATCATCGCCGGGCGCGGCCCCCGGGGGCGAGAAGCAGCGAGGGGCAACGGCAGTATACAGTCGGGGCGCTGACCTAAGGAACCCTGAATAAGGAACGGGGCCCCGTGTCTCCAGAAGTTGAACTTCGACTTCCCTTCGAAAACCTCAGGTAAACGTGGGGCAAACTGCGAAACAATTAAGGAGCACGGAGCCCCATACCCAACGAAAAGAGTTCCTTCTTCAGCGCCCCGACTGCATCAGGTCGGGGCATGCCCCCCTGCAGGCGGACGCTGGAGGAAACATGAATGGGGCCAGCGGGCCCCTCTCCGCGATCCGTGGGCGAGTGGGTAAAACGACGCGAAGATCGGGACAAAATCGGATCGGGATAACTCGAAATCTCTGAGAATCGGCGGCTTTGGAGGATGTATTGGGCGCCGCGGCCGCTCCAGAGCGTTCCGGAACGCTCTGAGAGCGCTCCGGAACGCTCTGGAGCGATTTATCCCGGTCCTAGCCCTGTTTTAGTGGGGGTCCAGGCATCCCCCCCTTGTGCCTGTCCCCCCCCCCTATATCGTTGCCCCTCGAGCAGGAGCCCGGGCCTCCGACGTCTCGGGAGAAGCTCGGGGCGGAGCCTGCTTTGTTGGCAGACTCTGCGGCCTCATGGGGGGCCCTCGTCCAGGCATCCCCCCCTTGTGCCTGCCCCCCCCCCCCTATGTCGTTGCCCCTCGAGCAGGAGCCCAGGCCTCCGGCGTCTCGGGAGGAGCTCGGGGCGGAGCCTGCTCTGTTGGCAGGGGGCCCTCGCCCGGCCCCCGCGGTCGGCCAGAGGGGGCTCGGGGGGCGGCAGGGCCGGCCCCGGGGAAGAGAAGGGTGGAGAGCTCCGGGGGCCCCGTCTTGAGACGCTCGGGGCGCCGGAGGCCTGGGAGGGCCGCGCGGCCCCTGCAGGGCGGAGAAAAAAAGCAACAGCTGAGCGGGCCGGGCCGGCGGAGAGAAGGGCCGAGGTGCCCCCCGCCGAGGGGGGAGGGGCGGGGCGGGCGGCGGAGGTCGACGGGGGGCGCGGGGCGTCCCGAGGCAGGCAGGGCCTCCTGCTCATCATCACCGTCCTGTTCCATCTCCTCCTGCTCCTCCTCCCCCTGC